GAATTCCGCATAATGTGGAGAAAATATGAAGGGAATATGAAATTTTATTAAAGTTCTTTCAATAATGAGATCAGTATTTAATATTGAGTTTAAATCTTTAAAAATTTGGGATAAATTTAAGTCGTGGGGTCAGTAGGTGTTCTGCTAAATTAGAGTTTGGGGCTTTTGTGATTTTTGATTTGAAAACGTCTTATTACATAAAGCGTGACTTATATGAATAGATTAGAATTAGTGGTAGGAAGTGAATAAGGTTGATAAATTGTAATTGCAAAGAAGATTTTAATATTGAGTTAGGGAAGTCATTAATTTTTAGAAGTGAGTAGAGACAAGTATATAGACAAAGAAAGTTATAATGAAAGCGAAATGTTTCGGATCATGAAGATCTGCTTAGAATTCAAGCCCTCTTCGAAATTTTCTTAGGATACGAATCCTATTGATTTGAGTAAATAAGAACTAGATTATTAGAAATTACATGGATTCTTTCCATGGAATGGAATATGATAAAATGTTAAATATAATTATTCTTAGATAGTTATAATAATTCATCCAAAAAAAAGTATAAAACTACTGTTCAATTCAACATTCCACTGAATAATTTAAAGTAGGATATTTATCAAAAAAAATCTAAGAAGAAGGTATAGAATGCTAGCCTTGCTGAATGCTACAAGAAGACGAATTTGGTTTATTCTTTTCTTCCTCTTCTTTACTATTTTTTCTCAATGCGGTACGTTTCATACGGCAATTATTTAATATACCACAATTTTTAAAAATATCATTACCTTTAATTGCTTTATAATCTTCAGTTAAAAAATGTCATAAGATTTAAATAATGCATAATAATATTGACTTGAAAGTACACATTTTAAGCCTTTACTAACTGAAACTTTATGAAACGGATTATTAACAATGAGTCTCGAAATATTAATTACCACAAAATAAACAACATAGTTATCTTAATATCAATACCATGCTTTTGTTATAAGAAGATCTTTATAGCCCAGGGGATGTGGTAGCTTAGTCGTGGTCGGCAATGTTTTCATCGAGTCGGGGGTTCGAGTCTTGATTCCACTAAAGACCCATCGTGTAGCGGGTCTGACACGTAAAGGCGTCCGGCGTAAGGGAGCCCCACCGTCTCGGTCTTAGATCAGACTACGAGCTTTTCATCCGCAACAAATTTAACTTATGCTATCGGAGCTGGAGTTACTGCAGCTGCTGACACCAGACTTGCCCTCCAATCGTTCCTTTCGAACACTTTTTACCTTGCGATCATTCCGATTACGAGGTCTCGAAAGAGTCCCTTATCGTTATTTTTCGTCACTACCTCCCCGGGCCGGGAGTGGATAATTTGCGTGCCTGCTGCCTTTCTTGGATGTGGTAGCCGTTTCTCAGACTCCCTCTCCGGAATTGAACCCTGATTCCCCGTCACCCGTGACGACCATGGTTGGCGCATGACCTACTAACGACAGTTGATAAGGCAGACACTCGAAAGACGCGTTGCCGGGACGAGCCCGTGCGATCCGCCCTAGGTTATACACAGTCACCAGTCGCTGCCGCGCGAACGCGGGCTGGTCTTGGTCTAATAAAAGCGCTCGTCTCCCTCGCGGGATCGGAGCTCCAGTGCATGTATTAGCTCTAGGATTACCACAGTTATCCAAGTAATATCAGCCGCCAAGGGGACCGTAACTGATTTAATGAGCCATTTGCAGTTTCGCTTTCTGGAATCGCTTGTACTTACACGTGCATGGCTTAATCTTTGATACAAGCATATCACTACTGGCAGAATCAACCAGTTATCTTTCCTGCGAGGATTTAGATCCTCGCCGTATTTCTCGAGACCCCGGGCGTCTGATGCATGTTAAACTGGTAGGGGTCTCAAGTCTATCCGCAGGAATGGTGAGGAATTTTGGTAGAGGAAGACGTCAGCTCAGATATCATCCTCTTCACTTCACTGAAGTTCAAAATTACGAGGCCTGTTTCTAATAGCTCTTATGCTGCTTTCAAGCACGACTTTAAGGAACAATAAATCAAGTACACTTAAAACCGTCATATGAAATAAATAAGACCACATTATATGCTAAGGGGAACTGCGTTTTCAAAGTATTTCTGATTAGTAATGATGAATTTAGAAAAGGGAGGGATTAATTAAAGTATCATCCTCTTCAATCACTTGACCGTGATTCAAAATCCATGATCCGTGAGTTTAATCAGCTGAATTCTACAAAAATTGTCTTAGAAAGGCAAAGAAATACTGTGAGAAATGTATAACTCTGGATGCTAACTATGAAAATAAGTCATAAATATAATACGTAAGGACAAAGTTTCGATTTCAATTATATTTATTAATAATTAAAACTGTACTATATTAGAACCTTACGCTTATATTATACTTATAAGAACCTTACGCTTCTACTTGTTTCCTCTATCAACGGCTTCTTGTAACTAATTAACTTTAAAAGCTGCCATCTACAACATTGTGTACATAATGATCAATCAATATATGAAAAATAAATTTTATTCCGATATCTCCGCTTTGTCTTAGTTATAATTAAAACTTTACAATGCCTCTCATTGGTAGAAATTATCCACAAACATGAACAGAAAATTCTTGCATTGTTTCTCATTAAATCGATACCATTTTAATCCTACTCTCTCTCTCTCTCTCTCTTAACTTGAGAAGGCAATAGGCATTGCCTTACATGAAAAATCTAAGTATAGTAGAGCGGGTATGCGCTACAGTGCGTTTTAGCGACAACCAGTAGAGTTAGCATTCTTATCTCAAATTTAGTAACTGATGCCATAAAAAAGTGAATTACGAAGTTGTAGAGTGTCTTTAATTTCGAATGAGGTCGGGGTAGCTGAGTGGTAAGGGTCCCAAGTTCGTGGCCGACTTAGTTTTCATCGAGTCTTGAGTTTCTGATGCCAATAAAAACCTGCCGTATAGAATAGCTGGTGATTGTTAAATTTTTCGAGGCCTTTGTCCTCTAGTTTGTGTGGTGTAGAAGTTTTGATAGAAAGTTGCTAAGTGTAGAATTGTAATGTTAATAAATAATCAAAATTGATTTAGAGCGAAAAGGCATTTTGCGTATAATAGTGCTTAGAATAGAATGAGCAAAATGCTGCATAGTTTGTTTGAAATTTCCAGCAATATTACACCGCAAAAGGCGTATATATATATGAAAATACAACTAATTATCAACAGAAACCATTATCTTAGGTTTTCAATATACTCTCTATCATCAACGAAGAACATCACAACTCTTTTCTAAATTCCTACTATTAGTTCAATCTCTTCTTTTATATATTTATATATGTTTTTCAAATTTTCAATCAATAATAAAATACTTTTTATATATTCCTCCACTCAAGTTCAAATTCATTTTTTAAACTTGTAGTGGATGACACTTGATGTTAATACAGTTTCCTCAAATATTAATTTATTAATTAAATATAATTTACCGGATGAATTAAGAAACAAGCCAATGCTTTTACTATGTCATTTGTCTTGCAATGGCAAATTTGGTAGAGCGTCCGCGCAGAATCTTCATGCCTTCGGATCGAATCTCGTCGAAGCATAAAAATTTTTTATTTTATTTTCAAATAATTAATTTTAGTTTTATATGGGAGAAAAAAAATTTCTCTTATATAAGATATTTAGCGGGATATAAATTTAGGAATAAATACTGTCAGTGACGAAGCGTGTAGATCGTTGGAAAAAAATTTCTTTTGCCACTTAAAATTGTGATTCTGTCATATGTATATACATATTTATATTAATTGCAATTAATTAATAAAAAGTCAATGAAATAAAAATTTTCTTTGTTGACCTAAGTAGGAATTGACTGTAATTTTTTATATTACTTATTTTATTTCATGTTGCACATTTTGTAGTATATGAAGTGATAATCAGGCACCAGCAATAGTAGCACATAGTTTAAGGACCTGTAGCGTTTGCGGATCGATCACATACACCTAGACGTTTCGTTTTCGATAACCGATCAATTTTGATCGCAAATATTATCCGGTTAAAGTCGGGACTAGGGTGTCCACTAGGTGATTAGCAACTTTTACGGAGCATTGGCGACTTTTGGGAGCGATAATGATTTAAACGTGGCGATTTGTTATGGTAACCTAAGGAATACTCAATACTTAAGTCACGCACGTTTGGCGACCTATCTAGGAAGTCACCAAATTTCGTCGCCAATAGCATAGGGCCCACCCTATTCTTGACTTTAGCCATATTATCCTTTTTCCTTTCATATGAGTTCTTAACGTCACGAGTTCGGAAAATCGCGAACCCACAAAAGCGTGCTTTCAGTGTTCTGTTCTAAGAATTATCGAATGTAAGGTATCTTTTCACTAAGCTGAAACACTCGACAACTATGTAGTTGACTTTTTTCCCATACCGTTTTTGAAATAGGAATGCTAACTTCCTATTTGCTGCTGGTGGTGCAGTAAACAATTTCACCCTACAATACATAACCATTTTACTGCACCTAAACAATACATTTAAGACATGAGTTATTCCCATTCTCAAATTACAGGTTGAGGCGGACATAAATAGGTGCCCTATAAATATACACACTCACACATGTGTGTATATATATTGTGTGTAGGAACGATTCATTAATTTTACTCACTTCTTTTTGTTAACAGGATTCAACGTAAATTATTCTTTAAATTAAAAATCTTGGAAACTATTCGTAAAATATGAGAAATTAATAGATTAATCGTATATCACATCTTTAGAAAATTATTGTTACATGTATATTCATATACATAGACTACCTGACAGAGAAAAATACAACAGCATGAAGAATTGGTCGTATGTTTATGCAAATTGCAAGGAATTCACTTTTGAACGATTAATGCACATGATCTGAAATGCAAATTCCTTAGTTAATGATATAAAAAGAAAGGAAATCTTCCAGATCAGTAAACAAATGTAACTTTTTTATTATAGAGGATAACCTGTTTTTTGCAACGTTTTTCTGAATTTCACTTGGTGTGTGTGTGTGTGTGTGTGTGT